TCTGGACACCCAGGCCAATTCATGTAAACCACTGACAATTTCTAGAGCACTTAGAGAGATTACAATAGGATCATGACCAACTTCTATAACTGAAACTAACACAGACACATCTCAAACAATATGTGTCAATCGTGGTGTTGTCCTACTCTAAAGTATTCACCAGAAGATGGGGATAAACAGTTTTTAATTCATCCTCCTTCTCCTCCTCTTCTTCCACTTCCTCTTCTTCTTCTTCCTCTTCTACCTTTTTCTGGGCAACTTTTGCTGGACACTTTGTGCCATCAAACTTTCTTTTGGACTTACAGTTAGCAACATCCTTCTCATATTTTTCTCCTTCAGCTTTGAGCCTTAGGGAAGTATGGCTGCTTTTTGCTGTCACTTAAGTTATTCCACAACTTATCCAGCTTTTTTTTTTTGCCACATCTCCAACAGAGGAGATACCAGGATTTGTGGACTTGATCACTGGGCAGAATTCTAAACAGAACAGGAAGAATCCAGACAGTGGTCTTTTGGGAGCTTTAGGGTCCTCTTTTTTCTTGCCTCCTTTAGCTGGTCCATAATCCTTCATTTCTCAATCATAGCATACTTTATCTACCTTTGCCATTTCATCAAATTTAGATTTCTCTTTCCCAGACATTGTCTTCCATTTCTCAGAGCACTTCTTGGAAAATCTTGCAAAACTGAAAGGACTTCTGGATTTTTCTTCTTATGTTCTTCTCTGCCAGTCTGCACAAAGAAGCAGACATCTTGGCCTTTTGTTTCTTGGGGTCACCTTCAGCCATCCTGACTGTATTATTCAGGAGTCTGGGCAGTGTAGGGCATGATACGCGGCTCAGGTCTCCCCAGCCTTGTGCTAGCTGCCTCCACCTATATTTATTTATAATATTACATATGTATGTGTGGATTTATTCCCATGTAAAATTCCATGTAAAATTCTGGAGATAACACTATTGGGTAGTGGTATAGTATTGGTGGTCAAGCTTCAATTCCATAACAATGCATTCCTGAAAATACTGAACAAATACACAGAGAGACATAGATGGTTAAATTTTGAAATCATAAACTGGAGACATGATTTAGGAATCACCTGCATTATAATGTACACCCAGGATCCAAGAGAATGGTAAGTTCAGGTACCAACATTTTTTGATAAAATACATTCTTGTTTTCTGCTTTGTACTGCACAGCTGACAGATAACTAAGAAATGACTGAAAGGTGAATCTGTTGTTTGTATGCACATTTGTACTTCAAGATCTAAATAAAATACAAAATATGGCTGGGGATGTGGCTTAGTGGTTGAGTGCCCCTGAGTTCAATCTTCAGTACACCCCCCAAAAATACATCTAAGTTTTAATCTTTAGAATATCTATTTTAAAAATTTAGTTTGAATACTAAATTGATAGACTTTAAACTTCATGCGTCTGTTTAAATCAGATCAGAGAGGTTTCATGAGTGTTACTGTTTATAGATTGTTAAAGATCCCTTGGGCAAAGTCAAGGCTGTTGCATGTGGACAGTTTTTTGAATTATAGCGCAGAAGTTTTAATGCATACCTCAGGAATGATAGGGGTCTTAAATAGGCAGTCATATTTACTAAAGAAACCTGGAGTTTTCTTAGATTGCCAACCTTAGCAAGACAAGAAATGTCAGGGTGACAGAGTTTAAGTGGCTCTTTTCAGATATATCACGCTGATTCTCTATATTTAAGAAGCGAAACAGCCTTCCAGGAGCTATTTAATTAAGTGAAAGTAAGTCTAGTCCCCATTGGAAGTGAATGGTTCAGTGAACAAATACATATCAGCCATGAGGAAGTAGGGAGTTATTATGTGCTTCATAGACACAGTGACACTTTATAACCCCATATCAGGGATCCTAAACAGTGATTGGTTGAGAAAATTATCAAACTGAGTTTAAATTTCGGCAGGTACAAAATTGTCATGCAAAACTCCAGGACAGCGTGCCACTCTCAGTCTTCAAAGAGAACGATAAGAAAACCTGGATTTTCAAAGTCCCTTTGAAGGCTCATAAGGTAAGACAGAACGCCCTCTTTACTCAGAACCAACTACATAAGTAAAAAGTTCTTTTTTTTTTTTCTAGAAAGAACTATGAATTTCAGTGAAGACAACTAGATTGTAAGAAGTGAAAATCCTTTTTTGATTAGATTTTCCTTCCATTTTTTACATGTCATATTGAGTATATATTAAAAGACAATAGAAAATTTTGTGGTAAGGGATGTTAATTCCATCCAATAAGATATCACATCACTGAAAAATAGGACTTTTTTCTGTACAGTCAGTATGTTGTTAAAATATAAGTTGCTTATCAGAAAAAGTGAACATCAGGTGCAATACATGTTTAAAGCCCAAAATACTAAAACAAAGTGATTAGAATGTTTTGTGCATATTTCACTAAGTTTCCATTACTGTTATTTTTATCCAAAAAAAGAATCAATTTCAAGAATCTAAGTCTAGTCAGTCATTTTTCATTCTCCGTAATGCAATGTAAGATGTAATGGGATTTCATGAAAAAAGGAACGTCGCAATCTCTGCTTCTTTTAAAACACTAACAATAGTAACATTAATACACTGACTTTTACAAAGAAATAAACATGTACTGGGGAATTTGATTTAATACATTATGCTACATGTATTTCAGTCTGGCTGAGCCACACATGAAGGGCTCATCCAGAGCTCAGTATCTGTCCTGTATTGGGTCTTCAGAAGTTTGTTGTCCGACTACATAAGTAAACCCCAGTTTACCTTTAATATCTTGCCCCTGTAAAATTGAATTTTGGCCTGGGAAATTATTATTATTATTTTTAAAAATTTGATGTTTGAAAAGCAAGATTGAAGCACTTTGACTTAGGATATCTAGAGATTTGACTTCTGTCACACACATTTTCTATTTCAAGAATTTCTACAGGTTGAGAAAAAAAAAAGATGTTACTGAAAAATTGGCAAAAACTGAGGTGGAAATTTGATAATTATTGGGTCATTTGATTGGTTTTAATAAAATATCAGATAACTCAAGTTTTAGAAATCTTCACTAGGCTTTAATACATTATTTTCTTATTTACTTGACCAAATTAATTGGCTAATTGCTAAATCTCATTTCACATGTAACAATAAACTCAATAATTTGAAGGGAGGCTTCATAGTGCTGAAACCTCAGCTTCAGGCAGATGATACTTAGGATATTTTTATAGCAGACTTTGAAGTCATTTACCTGCTTTGGCAAATAGTGACAAGCATCACTGTGTTATCCTCTGGAGCAGAGCTCAAAGAGAGTTTACGTGGTAGAATTGCTGGATTGCAGTTTAGAAAGGAGGTACGTACAACACCCACCTTTGTCACAAGTACCTTTCCGGGACACAGTGGCTCCTCCAAGTCCTGGTGTAGACTGGTCTTCTGCAGAGTCTGTGTAATAATTAGGTTTGGGATGCAAAGGACAGCATAACCCTTGCCAACTAAACAGCTAGCTTCCAATATTTCCACCCTACAACCCTGTATTTCACTTGTCCTGGGGTCACGTCAGCCTCAGTCCATAGCATTTCTGAAGGAGGTTTAGCTATTCTTGACTCTTTGATGAACAGCTGTAAGATTGAAGCATGTGTTCTGTCAGTAGGTCTAAAACTTTGTCTTTTCTCCTGTGAGGAAATTACAATAATTCTTCTTAACATATTTGTTGAAGTTTAATTATATTTCCACTACTACCACTAAATTACATTATTTGTTTTTATAACATATAACATTACAATCTTTAAAGCCAGTGAGAGTTCATGAAACAGAAGGAAAAATAAATCCTTTCCTTTTAATAAACATAGTATCATGATATCAAGAAATCCAACTTTTCATAAATAGAAACTTACATTTTTGATTCACATGGATTATACAATGTCTGTTTCAATGTATAAAAATTTGTGTTAGTCCATTTCTGAATTTGAATTCTGACTTCTTTTAGAAGTCCCATGTAATAATTCCTATCTTTTATTAGGAGGTTGCAAAATGCCTGGAACAGTGCTAAGTATTGTTAACACTAAGTATTTATTCATTAGCAACACTGATAAGATGCCTTCCAGTGTACTTTGCATCGGAAGACAACCATCACCAAGACACTCCTTGACCTTAGGAGCTTATAGTAGCATAGAGGAAAATAGAAATAACCTGGCAATTTTAGAATTGTGCAGTGTGTTGTGGGTGAGGTATACAGAAACCACTGGGTATAAAAAGTAACACAAATTCTCTTTGAAATGGAGTCAGAGAAGTCTTCTCAGAGACAATCCTTTGCTAATCCGGTTATACTCCTGAGGTGTAGTATTATCACTATCCCAGACAGAGGAACTGAAGACTTAATAAAGCTTCTTAACTGCCTCAAGCTCACACAGCCACTAGTAGAGGTAAAATTTGAACTAGGTCTCAGAATTCAAACTCCATGTTCTTTTCATTAACTGAGCTCCCTCAAGTCAATCATTTCTTTCTCCTGTCGTCTGGTATAACACAATTCTAGAGATTTAGGGTGGGGATTACAAATGCTTCCTTTTTAAAGCACAATCTTAGCAGAGTTAGTTAACACTTGATTAAATCTATTCAGAACAGAGAGTAAGAGAGAGACAGAGAGAGAGAGAGAGAGAGAGAGAGAGAGAGAGAGAGAGAGAGAGAATGAGAGAGAGTGCATGCTCGCTACCATTAAGAACAGTGGAAGGGCAAAATTATGGCTATGCCCTCTCTCTATCCACGGATGTTGTCCTTTATTGGCACAGGCAGAAAAAGCCTCAGAAGCTACATCAGTGCTGAGCTTGATGACACCTGACATAGCTCCATAAACATACCAAGTATATCTGCAATATCATAAATCTCATGTTGGATATGTACTCCTTTCCCAGGGAAAAGGGCAAATGTTGCAGATCAAAATAATATATTACTGTAGCTATTATCTTTTGCCTTATAAGTGATTTTGTGCTGTTCTTTTTTTTTAACAGCCATTGATTATTATTCCTAAGGACAATGAAGATAATTATATTTATTTGCATTTGGGCAGCAGCATGGGCCATTCCAGTAAGTTTTTCTTCCTTGGAAAACTTCCTTGCTTTGCTAAATCTTTTAGTCCAACAAAACACACCTAAAGTTTTGCAGATAAATGGAGTTCAAACATTGAGATTTGCATTACACATGGAGTTTTACTCAGCTATAAAGAACAACAAAATCATGCATTTGCTGGTAAATGGATGGAAATGGAGATCATGAAAGTGAACTAAGTTAGACTCAGAAAGTCAGGGCTGTATGTTTTCTCTCACATACAAAAGCTACAGCAAAATAAGGGTGGGCATATGGGGGAAGGAAGGATCCCATGAAAATAGAAGGGAGATCAGTGGAGTGGAGGAAGATGATTGAGGGGAAGGGATGGGAGATGGAAAAGAGAACTGAGGAATGAAATTGACCAAAATATGCTATGTAGATGCAAGAATATATACCACAGTGAATTCCGTCTTTATGTATATTCACAAAGCACCAATTAAAACAAATAAAAGGAAGGAAAACCAATAGAATAGGGAAATGGGAATAGGGTAAAAGAGAAAGAGAGGGAAAATGGAATTACTGGGAATTGAAATGAAACAAATTCTATCCCATAAATGTATGAATATGTAAAAATGAACCCTACTACTATGTACAACTAAAATACCCTAATAAAAATTAAGAACTGTTTTTCTTAGGGTACATTTTATGTTATATATAAAATAAAGCATTTATTAATTTTTTTAAAAAAAGACTTTATATGATAACCCATTTGTAATTGTATTAACCAGATTTCAGGCTTAGCATTTTCATATGCTCTCATGAGACCAAGCATTTTTTGGTATTTCTGTAGTTGAGAATTCCCCCAAGTGTTTTAAGTATATTCTTGAAGAGCCCAGAAGTATCAGTTACTTGATTTTGGTTCAGCACTGACTCTGACCACACCCATTATTCTCTTAGGAGATTTGCCCAGGATTATACTTGGGGTGGGTTCTGTGCTACTGCAAGAGGCTTGTTCAGAAACAAAAGGGTCTACCTCCTTGTTTTTCTATAGTCAAGATAAGTAGTCTGGCTAATAATTCAACAAAATTGGTAATACCATAATGAAAAATATCTACATGCCAAATTAAAAATTGTACGTAAGCCCAGCAACAAGCTACTTCTTTTTCTTAGATCATTTATTTACCTTTGTATTATATTTTCACTCTTTTCACTGAGGGAAAAATGTTCGTGTGTGAGGTGCTATACATAAAATAAGATTCTTTAAATATCCCATGTTTTCACTTTGGCAGCTTCCTCAAACCAAACCATTGGAGAGACACACTGTTGAAAAATCTGTGAATTTACATCTTCTAGCAAAACAAAAAGTGCCAGTACAGGTATGGGATATGAAATGTGTTTCCCATTATTTCTATTTCTAAGATATTTTTGAATTTCATTAACTTCCTACAATTTTTCACCCTTCTTTTCAGCTGCTTTGCTTCAAGATGAGACCTATAATTTATTTTGAATTTTTTCTCATTTTCAGCATGAGTTAAGTGCCAATGACACCACTAAAGAAAGTGGTGAATCCCTTCATGCAAATGAGTTAGGAAGGCAACAGTACACCAAGGATGGTTATGAAGGAAAAGGGAATGGTTCTGAGTGGAAAGAAGTAGGAGGGAAGAGTTCTACACAGTCTGTTTTAGCCAGCCAAGAGGGGAATATTGAGGAAGAAAATGGAGTCACAGGAAAACCAGAAACATATGGTCATGATGCGATTCATGGAGAAGAAGATAACAGTACAGCAAATGGCATCAGGGGACAAGTAGGCATCACCGACAATGCTGAAGCAGGAAATGAGAGTGATATTAATGGCAGTGCTAATCAGAATACAACAAATGAGGATGATGGAGACACAAGCCAAAATGAGGGTGTTACTGTTTTCCAAGAAAATGGACCTCAAGTAGTTGGAAGCAATAATAATACAGACCATGACAATAAAATAAATGGGAATGAGGGTGATACAAGTGCAGTAACACCCCAAAGAGAAGGTGAGGGAAATGGGGATAAGGAGGTTGAGGTAACACCAGGCAATGAAGAAGATGCTGGCTTGGATAATTCTGATGGGAGTCCTAGTGGAGATGGTACAGATGAGGATGATGACATGGGTTCTGGTGACAATGATGGTGGAGAACCAGGGAATGGAAACAAGGGCAGTGATAACAGCAAGGACCATACGGGTCAGTCTCATGGCAAAGGAGATGACAGTAGCATAGGTCAGAATTCAACTAGTGGTGAAGATGATGACTCTGAAGACAAAGAGGATTCCCATAATGGAACTGGTGGAGACAACACCTCCAATAGTGAAGAAGACTCTGATGGTATTCCAGAAGGCAATGGTAGCCAAGGAATAGAGGACACCCAGAAACCCAGCCACAGAGAAAGCAAAGGTGTGGAAAATGGAATTACCAGACAACCAGAACAAAGTGCTATTGGGAAGAGCCAACTTAAGGTTAGTTTTTAATCCAATTTCTTTTGATGTAAGTTTCATTTTTCCCTGGCACCTTCTGAGGGTAGCACAAAAATCATAAGTATCCAGGTAATTTTCACCTACATTATTTGACTAAGAAGAAAGCTGGAGTTCTTATCGGACTATGATATAGAAAATTGTAGGAGTCAGACTTTCTAGAAAGTTCCTTTTAGGTAAGAATAAAAGAGTATAAATGTGGATGGGTTGCTAAGCAATCTGAACACAAGAGTACTTTCAAGTACAAAATAAAGTATGTTTTCACAAATAACTGTTTGGGAATAACTGAAAGTTGGAATCCTATTCCTGTGGTCACTTTTCTCATACAGTCCTCCTCCGACCAATGCAACTTTGCAGTAAATATTCACTAATCAATCATTCTTTTCTTCATTGTTCCACAGGGAATAGAAACCAACAGAACTAATATTACCAAAGAAGCTGGGAAAATCAATGAAAGTAAAGATAGTAAAGGACAACATGGAATGAATGTGAGCTCAGGAAATGCCAAAACACAAGGAGAGGTTGACAACATACAAGGACCTGGCCAGAAATCAGAACCTGGAAATAAAGCCAGGCACAGTAAAACAGGTAGTGGTAGCAATAGTGATGGATATGACAGTTATGATTTTGATGATAAATCCATGCAAGGAGACGACCCCAACAGCAGTGATGAGTCTAATGGAAGCGAGGATGCTAATTCAGATGGCAACAATGACAGAAGTAATGGAGGAGATGCTTCTTATAACTCTGATGAATCAAGTGATAATGCCAATGGCAGTGACTCAAATGGAGAAGACAATGATGAGGGCAGTGATGGTGCATCAGATACTGATGATAGTGACAGTCACGGTGATGATAGTAACAATGAGAGTGAAGACAATGATGAATCAGAAAGCAGTGAAGATAAATCAGAAAGCAAGGACAGTGGTGACAGCAAATCAGAGAGCAGTGACAACAGTGATAGCAGTGACAGCAGTGATAGTAGTGATAGCAGTGACAGCAGTGACAGTAGTGACAACAGTGACAGTAGTGATAGCAGTGACAGCAGTGATAGCAGTGACAGTAGTGATAGCAGTGATAGTAGTGACAGTAGTGACAGCAGTGATAGTAGTGACAGCAGTGACAGTAGTGACAGCAGTGACAGCAGCGACAGCAGTGACAGCAGTGATAGTAGTGACAGCAGTGACAATAGCGACAGCAGTGATAGTAGTGATAGCAGTGATGATAGCAGCGATAGTAGTGACAGCAGTGACAGCAGTGACAGTAGCGATAGCAGTGATAGCAGTGACAGCAGTGATAGCAGTGATAGTAGTGACAGCAGCGATAGCAGTGATAGTAGTGATAGTAGTGACAGCAGTGATAGCAGTGACAGCAGTGATAGTAGTGATAGCAGTGACAGCAGCGATAGCAGTGAGAGTAGTGACAGCAGCAATAGCAGTGACAGTAGTGACAGCAGTGATAGTGACAGCAGCAATAGCAGTGACAGCAGTGACAGCAGCGATAGCAGTGACAGCAGTGATAGTAGTGACAGTGACAGCAAATCAGACAGCAGTGACAGCAGTGATAGTGACAGCAAATCAGATAGTAGTGACAGCAGTGATAGCAAATCAAACAGTCATAGTAGTGACAGTAGTGACAGTAGTAACAGCAGTGATAGCAGTGATAGCAGTGACAGTAGTGATAGCAGTGACAGCAGTGATAGTAGTGACAGTAGTGACAGCAGTGATAGTAGCGACAGCAGCGACAGCAGTGACAGCAGCGACAGCAGCGACAGCAGTGACAGCAGTGACAGCAGCAATAGCAGTGATGGCAGTGATAGTAGCGACGGCAGTGACAGCAGCAATAGCAGCGATAGCAGTGACAGCAGCGAGAGCAGTGATAGCAGTGACAGCAGTGACAGTAGTGACAGCAGTGATAGTGACAGCAGTGACAGTGGGGATAGCAAATCTGACAGCAGTGATGAGAGTGACAGCCAGAGCAAGTCTGGTAATGGCAATAATGGAAGTGACAGTGACAGTGACAGTGACAGTGAAGGCAGTGATAGTAACCACTCAACCAGTGATGATTAGAACAAAGAAAATCCAATGAGTTTTTCTTTGTGTGTGAAAATTTGATAAGTAATCAATAGGAAATAGATTCCCAATAAAATAAAATAGATAAATAAACAATGCATGTAAACATCCATAGAAACAACTAGGGGAATCAAGTCAAATTGTTGGATTTGGAATTCAGTCCCAATTCCCTTAGAGAGAGAATCTGAATGTATGACCTTGGGTACATGCATGTTAAAAGATATTCATGTTCTGAAAATATTTTGTTAAAAGTGTAAATGTAAACATTCAGGAATAATTAAAATGTTCTTTAATATTTTGCACAGACACCTCAAGCAATCACTTAGACATGATATCTTCAATTATAATGCCAGCTGCTTTAGAGGATGTAGTAAGTAAACTCTTCTTACACATAATCTGTGGCACTACCTTAATCCTGTAGCAGTCATGGAGAGTCTGCTTACTGTGGAGTAAAAAAAATGCTGTTCTGTGACATCCTATGCAAATACTGATTGATTTGCTTGTTCTATGGAAGATATACATTTGCAACCTGAAGAAAATATCATAGCAACTCTTTAATCTTTCCAGGATTTGGGAACAAACTTTCAATTGTCTTCACATCAGTCTCACCAAGTGAAACCTGGCTCACATTTCCCTTTTAAATGTCAACATTCCAAAACTTCCAGACTAGACCCTGAGACTGCCTTTCCACTGTGAATCTCTTTAATAAAGTTGCTGGTGGGCAATATTTTGGAAAACTTCTCTTTCTTATTTGAGAGAGTCTCATATGCAGTTAAGACCTGAGCTTAGGTCATTCAGCTTTTCCAAGTATAAGGATAATTAGTTTTGAGATGAAGCCCAAACCCTAGAAAACAAGGATCATAAAGATGAATGAAAATAGAGAGTAATCTTTAACAGGGTAGAGATGTAATTATCATCCATACTTAGAGTACTTTTGAAAATGAAAAGGGTGCTTTGAATAATTACATGGGGACAGGAAGTGTAAATGCGGATTGTCCTAGGGAAACTAAAGAACACTATGACTTGAGGGTATTTTTCGAGAATTGGTAATGATGCTTTGTAATTTATCTTTTTTCTCCACTTAGGCCATTATTTTAGATTTGTTCTAATTTAAAGGTAAAACTATATTGTGAAGTTATGGTTGCAATTTCTCTAACAGTAATTTTTAAACCCGTCTTTAGTTGACAATTTATGTTCTAATGTTAGGCACATTTTACACAAACAGTTTCAGAGTGTTTCTTTTTCCTGCCTCATTCCTCCTTTATGCAAGAGTTTTTAAGAGTTAAAAATTGTAAGGAATATTGCTAAAAGCTTAAAAAATGCTGCTATTTGTAAACTACTTTGTGACTCTTAATATTGTAAAATGTCAGATTTCTGTTATATCACAGCCATGTAATGACTCCAAACCTTTTACCTTAAAATATGCTCTAGGTTTTTCATTCTGTTAAACTATAGAATTTTTTGTTTGCTTGTTTTGTTTTTATTTGTAAAGTTCTGCTTCTAGTACCTGTCACACTTATTTCAAATGGTTGTCATGAGCCCTAAATCAACAATGGATGTGGAACTCTTTGTAAACTGTACAAGATATGTAAATGAAAGAGATAATTTCAGTGTTATAATAAACATCTATTTATTCAATTGCTCATAAGGAAAACTCTTTTCACCCTAATGAATTTGCAAATATTTGGCGTCCACATCACAAAATCTGTTTTATAATATCACACTTTTTAAATAGTTATCTACTTTTGGTTGGAAAAGTAACACATGTATATATACAAAATAACAATTTTTAATACTATGTAAAATATAAAAATTTGATCTTGATCATTTTAGACTTCTAGTCCTCTATTTCTCTTCCCTAGTGTCAATTTCTGTTACTAATATATTGTAGAACTTTCCACAAATATTGCATTCACATAAAAGCACATATATTTCCCTTTTAAAAACATATGGAAGTCTACTACATACAAAGTCCTCATCTCACTCTTTTTAGCTGAGCAACCTACCCTGAATATTGGTTCAAAGTACACAGGTCAACCTCATTTTTCTTCACAGCTATGTTTTATTTCATTTTATGAAATGTCCTAAGATATTTAATTTGTGTTTACTGTTCCATCATTTCCTAAGCCACTTCTGGCCCCAAGAGAGTCTGTGGATATCACCTGAGATAAGAGTCTGAGAACAAATTTCTAACCAGTTCCTGTAAAGAATTCACCTTTAGAAGTATTTCCAAGGAGTAGATGTTCAGGATTTAGGGCTGATGTCAGAAATCATGAAGGAGCACTATGATCCTGATTCTCTCATATAATTACATCTGCAATTGACTTCTGGACCTTTGAGACCGGGGAGGAGCAAACACTTTCCATAGGAATGTCTCAAAAGTAGATTCTCTAAGCCTAAGAGGTCTGCTATTAGGAAAAATTATTCTTGAGTTATTTTCTGGAATAAAGATTAATAGGCCTTCTCCTAATATCACTCATGACAGCAGAATTTTTTAAACTGCTGGTTGCCAATCCGTTAGTAGCTCATTATACCAACTTAGTGAGTTATGACATTTTAAAAAAGGAAAAAACAAAAGAAAATCAGTGCATCATAGGTAGTATGCTATGAAATTTGATGATTTCTATCTCTTTATACATATACAAATATGTCAGAGTATGCAGATACTGGGACATGATGTAAAATGTCTTCCTTGCTTTTGGTTGTAGTTAAATGAGTTTGAAAGCCATTGGTTTAGGAAAGCATTATTGCTAGCAGTCATTTCATGTTTACTTTCCCCATTCATGTTTGTCCTTAAAAATCTATAAGTTTCTTTTTACCTTTGAAGAGATTTAGGAAGGAAGGAAGGAAGGAAATAAGTAAGGAAAGAAAAAAGGGAGAGAAGGATAAAGGAAGGGAGGAAGTGTTTTATATGCGTAGAGGGCAGGGAAGAATGGTGGTGGGATGGGATCCTGGATTTAATTTGGGCCGTAGTAAAACAGCCAAAGTCACATTGCACTCTTGAGCAAAAGGCCCTTGTGATTGTCCTGGTGGACTGTTGGGAATTCAAGCTTGCTTTCTGACTCCATGTATGACTAAAGGTGCCAGATCTTACAACTGGCTCTCAGAGGTTGTCCCTGGGAAGTTCTTTTGCACCTGATCAGACCACAAATCAAGAAACATAATAAGAGGGTTTTGTTCTTGTTGTTGCTGTTGTTATTTTAAAATTTATTTCTGATATAGAAAGATAACCTTTAGGAAGACATACCTCACCATATTAATACATTTTGAATTATTAACTAGAGTGGCATTTCCCAGAAGTCAAACTTGCTTTATGATTTGTAATGGAAGTTTTGAAAAGCTGTAGACCAAAATAACCAAGAACAATTTTCCTGTCCCTAAAAGGAGCAGGAACAGAATAGTATTTTATTCAGTCATGGATGAAAATATCATTGTGTTCTCACAGTGATACATTCACGGCTGCTTGGAAGCAAATCCTCTAGAGAATGAAGAAAGTCAACCACACAATGTTCTCAACCTCTATTCTAAACAGGGATCTTGGATTCAAATGCTAAAAATAGGGTGGGGGATGTGATGAGGGAAATCAATTCCTATGGGACAATCATGTAATTCAGAAAAAATGGTATAAGTCTAAAGATCACTGATACCTTAGACTCGATGTTTTCCTTTAGTTTGCACAGACTCAGCTCCAGCAAGAAACAGGATTGACATCTTTGGCATGGGACACCTCTCTTGTTTCCAAGGGAATTTGGGGCTTTGCTATTGGATCTTCCCCTCTTTCCTTCATTTTCTCCCTAGTCTTTTTCCTTTTAAAGAGTTGAATAAATCTCTCTAGCAGACCAGAATTCCCAGCATCTCTCTATGTAAGAACCCAGACACACTCTCCTCTGGGAAAAATATGCTTGGGCTTATATTCCTAGTCCTTCTGCATGCTCTTGGATTTTAGTCTCCACCAACTAGTTCTCAGCTCCCACCTTAATGGTACTTTCCTCACTGAATCATTTTTTTTTTGACCTCCCAGCTCTATCTCCACATCTTAAGAACACTCTCAATTAAAAGCAAGAGATACTTAGGCTGTGCCAGACTCACATTCAAGGTGCACCAAAGCAAAAAATCTCCTGGGTTTATCCTAACATCCTGATTATGACAAGTGAGTTCTTATCTTGTCCCCAGGTGAAAATTCCCTTTGAGTGAATTTCTGAGCTTCTGCCCTACTTCATCATTCTGTTCTAGCAAGTATCTTAGAATTTTCCTAACCCAGCACACCTGGGAATGCCAGGAGCAAATCTAGTGTCTGACACAAGTGGGCTTATTACCTAATGCAATGAAGGAGATTGTTCAACAGAGTGGGTCATCTCAGCAAAAGAAAAGACAAAGGATTGGAGGAGAGGGTAGAAATTAGATGATAATTAAACAAAACAGTATTCAAGAGGGTCAAAGCAAAGCAGGGATGCAGGTAAAGACAGCAACATTGGATATGGACTGTAAGTTGACCCAGGCTCCCATTTCTTTGGAAAGTGCAAAGTTAGGATGAATGTGGACTGTTGAGTCCAGTTACCACTTACCTGAACTTCTTCACCTGGATTTTGAATTGAGGCTGTTTTTCTGTGTCAAAGTGACTTAGAGCCTCCAGGCAAGAGTGGAGGGCTTTATTCTTGCTGACATAATCTTCAACAGCAAAATCCCCAATAATATTTGATTTTAGAGAATGAAGTGTCTCAGTGATTAATAAAACAAGAATTACTCAAAGATGGGACTTATTATGACAATTCCAGCTTCAGCATCCTTGAGAGATATGTTGTTTCCTATGAAAATGGCATCTGGCTCAATCTATGACTATTTTTCCAGTCTGATGAACGGTGGGCAGATTCTTACTCACTTGGTCTCAGCTGGTTCTACGGAGGTATGTATCTGCTAAAACCAAGACTGCTTATCTTGCTAGTCTTTTTCCCAGATTCAAGCAGAACTCCCAGATGCCTGCCTGTTCTTTTAATATC